CACATTTGTGTTAGGAAAGTGAGTGCTGACCGCTTTGTACTTATGTAACCTTTACAGTAAACCAACGTTTTGTTCATGTGCTGTGTCTGGAATTGTGATTTGCTACTCTATTTTTAGCACTCTCTTTCTTCTCTTTAAAGGAGAAACTTCCATTATTGTTTGTGCAAGGCGTGTGTTTAACTCTGCCATGCCTTCAAACCTGACCATTGCTTTGACACTCTCGTAGAAATCGAGCTTATGTAGGCAGCCGCGTGCTTTGGTTGCTCTGTGTGTGTGTGAACACTTCCTAGATGGATTTCCAGGAGCAGACACAGCATCGGGCAATGTGAGAGCATGCCTTGTGATAACTGGTTCGCCTGCTCTGGTGCTGCTTTGGGTAAACTGTCCCTTTTCCAATAGATTTAAACTGCAGTTCGGGCCGTCTGACACGCTGAGGTGCAGTCTCACTCTGACTGGAAGAGCTACGCTTTGTGCTCCTTTTGTCTGGGCACGGTGGGATTTTGCCTGGAAAAATGCTTTACCTGGAAATGGAATCATTTGCAAGAAGTTGTGATCGTGCAACATTACACTGAGGCTCAAATTTCCTTATAGACATAAAATAAATGTTAGCGACGGAGTGCATGAACTCATCAAAATCTTTCAAATCGGAGGGTCTGCCTTGAAGTCTGCTTTTGCAGAACGCTTTATGAAATCTGAGTATCTTAAATATGCACACAATCCTCCTACACGCACAGAGCTTTCAGCTTTTGACTTGAAGACTGCAACAGCAGAAGCATCGCTAAGACAGCAGCAGAACGCCGCTTGACTATGCTCTTCGCTGTAAAGCTAGGGAGGCAAATACAGATCATAAACATCCCAAACAGCAAGCAGTCTATGTATAATGATACTTTAAACTTCCAAGAAAATGCCTTTCCTTATATTGAATGTAGCTAAGATTTTTTTTTTTTTATTGGGAAGGGTTCAGCATGAACAATCTCAGCTATATCTTTGGTACTCTGACCTAAAGAGCAGGGGAGGCCTGACAATAAAGATTGAAAAACACTCTTCATCTCCTGTTTGAAGAGATGGTGAGGTCGAAGACAACCTAATTTGTCTGTGTTAAATTAAATTTTGCTAAGGGAAGAGGTTGCACATTGCAGAATTTACTGTAATATAAGATAATTTAAAAAATTCATTTCCTCAACAAGTCGGCATTGATGCATTGTGGGCAGAGAAACTGCTTTCTACCCCCCCCCCCCCAATGTATCTGGACCACTTAACTTGAAGTTGGCTTGATACAGAGTTGTTTTAAAAGAAATGCTGCCATCTCATGCTCTCAAAACAATGAGTTCACTACACCTCGGAAAAATCAGGCTGCTTATGTAAGTACCTAAATAAGGCTGTATCATGCCCGTTTGAAAATAATTTTGTAACTTCTGCCTGCCTCCTTTCCCTATGAAGCAGATATGGTGGCATGTAAGATGGTGGGGCACTGTGCTTAAAGGCTTGTTTTTGATTTGAAACAGCGAAGTCTTGGAGAAGGCAGTTTGATCTGGTAGGACAGTCCTGATGTCCCTGTGTCCGGGGGTTTGTGCTAGGCTGGCTGGTGGTAGCCATGGCTGAGCTGTGCTGTGATAGCCCTGCTGCATGCAGGAGGGAGCCTGAACCCCAGAACTTCCAGAGGTCCTTTCCAGCCAGTGTGCCGGTCATCCTGTGATCAGCCCGCTCTACAGCACAGAAAATGCAAGTGACTTGCCTCGTCTTTGTCTTTTTATTGAGATCAAAAAAAGGCATTCCCTGCGTGCACTTGCGCTGGCTGCTGGGTTGAGCCCCGATCTCGGTGGGAGGCCGCAGGTGTCCATAGGCCAAATAATATCAGAGTAGAAGCGAAATGAGGGTCAAGGACGGTCTAGTAGGTGGTAGCAGCATCATGTACATACGTTGTGGTCCTTCAGCAGCAGGATGGGAGAGAGGCTTAACTTTCCAAGCAATACATGGGGGGAGAAGGAGTCACATACGATGGTCATAATCCATTTAGAAACTAGGAAGATATGAAATATGTACAGGAAAAGCTGTTCTTTCTCTCTTAAGTCTTACACGATCCTGCATTGTGAAGTCAGAAAACTACACTGAAAGGTAAAAGCAAAATCCTAACCTTTATTAGATAGTGTATTTTGAAAGCTGTATACCAGCAAAACCATTTTGTCCTCCAAGTCTGATTTAATCCTTAATATACTTCCCATTGTTTAAATTTGAGATACTTTTGGCATGCTCTTACCCCAAATTCTTGTTTTGGCTCTTACTCTAGGCTTTCTTGCAGGGGAAATTGCCTGGTGTTTTATTTACATTGCCTAATATTCTGTGTTATGATAAGCAGATTCCTCTGTGGGAACACCAGTTACATTTTGCTTTTGCTTAAAGAATCACTTCTGTGTCTCAAATTTTTGGAAATGAGCAGGGGCAGTGCCCAGGAGCACTGAATTGGACTTGTTTTGGTATTTTACTGATATTCTGGTCAGGTCTGAAGATGTTCCCTTTTCTTCTTTATATTGACAACAAAATCTGTGATCGTATGACAACTAGTAGTAGTAGTAGTAGTAGTAACCGTACTGCTGCAGTCACCCTACAGCTTCGCATGCTGGGGAATCAGTCAGTGTAACGCTGGTCACAGCTAGGTCAGGGATAACCAGATCCAAGCTGCCAGTACAAGTCTGATGCAGCTCCTTTACCAGTGGGGACTGTGCTGCCATTTTTGCCTCACTTGCTACTTTGCTTTCTTTCAAAGACCGAAGTTTGCAACCGAAATGACGTTGTTCTAATAAAGCTTTTATGCATACCCCATGTCATCAGGCAGAAATACAGGAAGGTAAAACAGGCTCCTGGCTGTTCCTGTCTGCTGCCTCTGCTGTTGGAGAGGGGCTGAAGTCCAGAGCATGAGCTTTTCATATGCCAGGCTGAAGGTCTTATCTTTCATCTCCGTAATGGCCTCATCTGGAGAAGTTATGGGACTGAGCTGTTCCCTTGCGATTGGCTGCGTGCTACCTGGCCACCTCTTGCTCCCTTTCAGTGGCTGTTTGCAGAGCCTGGGACTTTGCACCCGGTCTAACTGATCTTACTTTTTAACAAAATAGTTTCTGTTAGTGACATTTTTTTCCGCCTCTCAACTCCATATGGAATTTAACATGGGACTTCGTTCCTTGTTACAGGCTGAATGCACGGCATTACTTCTGGCATGGAGTTAGACACTCATGAGTGGCTCTGCCCCAGGAAGGTGCTTTGGCCATGGGCAGCTATTGCAGCGTGACCCCCGGCTGTTTGCCCAGCTCTGTAGAAAGGTGGCACTAGGTTCACTTACGTTTTTCCAGTCTTCCAGTAGAGCACATAGCAAGAGAAGAGAGATGGGGGGCTTTTAAAAAGGGACACCAGCTCTGGATTTATATGCAGCCTACCAGGAACTTGATGCAGGGGGAAAGCAGAGTGGTGGGATGAGATGCTCCTCAGGCTTGTGGAAGGAGTGGGATCAGAGAGGAGGCTGTGCTGTTCCTGTTCCTGTGAAGCTCTGTAAATCTGAGTTGCTTATTAGGGTGACAGGCTCACGGTTAGAGAATGTAACATACCTTGCTGCATTGAACTCGAAAGGATTAAACTGAAGGACCAGGATGGTTGTAGCTAGGTGGGGCTCTGAGGGAGCAGCTACAAACCATCCCTTGGTGGGCTCAGGATACCTGTATCACTGTGCTTTGTTTCTCTGATGCCTTGTCTCAAGGGTTTGCAGTGGAATCCTGAGCTTGGGGCTGTGCCAGACCCAGAAACAGTGACTGGACTCAAACCTTACCTGAGCTGGGAAACACCTGGGAGTCAGCTTTGGTCTGATAAGTGCTATAGTAACCGTGAAGAAACAGCTCTTTGCTGCAGAGAGTCTTTCAGTGTTTTGACCTTTAGCCTTTTGTTTAAGACTTGTGGTGTTTGTTTACCCGGCAATTCCTGCAGTACCTTAACTGAGAGTACTGTGTGAGTGGAGTTTCTGTTGGAATAATTCATTTGCTTCTTTTTAGGGCAGTAATTATTTACTAAGTATGAGCAGTTGTCTGGAATGTCTAGTTAATTATCAGCTCGCCTCTGTGAAAGTGCACGTAGTGAAAATACTTAAATAAAAATTTGAAAGTTGTTCTTTTTTGCTCTTGTTTCAGGTACTGGGTCCATGTGTCACATTTGAATTGCGCTGTGCTAATTCTCTAAGTACCAACTCAGACCGTCTCCTTGATGCACACTCACAGCATCATGGCCAGTACTCAGGAGCGCCTGAGCTTGTCTTCCTCCCCAAACTCGATCGGCAAAGCCTTCTGTGAAGATAAAGACTTCAGCAGGTTACATGATGAACATGCACCTACTGGAAACCACCCGTCCCCTGAGCTCATAGAGGATGTACGTGAGAAGGGCTTGCTGCCGGCAGACCTCATCGATAACATGAGCAGCCCGGTCACTGCAGCAGTGCTGACCAGCATCAGCGAGGACTCTAGGGACCAATTTGAGAACAGCGTGCTGCAGCTGCGAGAGCAGGATGAGTCTGAAACAGCCATTCCTCAGGGTAACAGGAACACTATGGATGGAGAGAGCAACAGTGGAGCGGATGATGTTAAAGTCCAGTTCAACAGATCAGGCAGTGGGAGCGGTGGGTTTCTTGAGGGACTTTTCGGATGTCTGAGGCCTGTGTGGAACATCATAGGCAAGGCATATTCCACAGACTACAAGCTGCAACAGCAAGGTAAGTAGGGGAGTAAACCTCTGTTGCTTCTGGGGGAATGTGTGAAGATGAGGAAAGCAATCCAGGGCTTTTTCCCAGCTTTCTGTGTGACCGTTTTTGTCTCGTAAAACCATAATATATGATTTTGCAAAGAGAAATGTTGCGCTACAACAGCTATCACGTGTAGCAAAGGCAGCTCGTGATGGAGTCAAAAACAATTGCCTGTTCTGACCCATGCCTTGGCCTGTTGTGACAAGGTCCGAATCCAAACCGAGTATCTGTGTGAGTGAGGATCAGAAAGAATTGTGCTGAACACAGGAATTGTACCAACAACTTCATTTCTGCAGTTTTTTCACGCCAAATGAAAAACACAGGTATAGGTATTTTCATCATACCGGATGAAAAACATTGACATAGGTATTTCTACTCCTGTATGTGTGTGGTGGACAGCTGGAGACAGCCTTCACAAACAGCAGAAATATTGCTTCTCTGTGGGCATCTTACAAGAACTTTTATGTCTTTTTGTTCAGGAGTAACTTTACTCTTTAAATTATCATTCAGTACTTACCATTCCAGAAATGTGTCCTTTAATGTGGATACCTTTTTCTTTTATATGTTATAAATGTTTAAGTGTAAATGTATAAACATAAAAGTGTGTGTGAATATATATTAGAAATATGTAGTTTGGGGATAACTAATGTTTCTGTCGATCGCACACATGTATCTTTCGGGATTACTGAAAACTAAAGAGCAGAGCATGCTCTGCCTTTGGTGTCTGATTTCTCCCCTAGCACAGGGGGAGGGAAGCGGCAGATGGGAAAAGAACAAGCTGTCATTAGAATTAAGGAGCTGGAATGGTTGAGTCTTATCGAAGATGGGAGCAGCCTGGCCACCGTGCTATATTGTGGGGTAGAAGTGTGCTGTATTGCTGTGATCATGACTCACTATTAATCAAATGGTTTTCTGGCATAGACAGATTATAAGATACATGGTCAGAAAACCCATCTGAGTGGTTCATATCTAAACCCCAGAGTGATGCTGGGGAACAGTTCCTAATATGAGGGAACAGAGCTGTTAAATAACATGTTGGGTGAATCTACCTTGAAATAAACTTACTCCTCCTTCCTAGACTCAGTCATTTCCAGTTGGTGACTCTGAGCAAGGAGGTCCCCCTCTGCACTGCAGAAAGGCAGGTGCCACCGAAGCAGCAGCCTCTTGTCTGTCAGACCTGTGTGCTCAGCGAGAGTTTATTTGTTTTTGAAATCCCTTGGCAAGGTTGGTTCTAAGTTTTGTCTGTGTGTTGTAAACTCGGCATGTCACACATGGCTGAATCTGTAAATAAAACAGGTGACTGAAAATTCCTGGGGGAATTAACACTACTGGGGTGGTTGCACAGTACATGGAGTCAGATGTGTAGAGTTTTGGAAGAGACTGTGTCTGGCAGGGGAGCCCCCCTTGTGAAGGAAAACGAGCTTCAGAGCAGTCGGGTAGCGTTCGAAGGCGGCGTGGCGTCCGTATGTCGGTGTGATGCTGCTTTGGTTTGGATGCTCGGTGTTCTTAAGCGAAGCTGAAACTTTCCAAGGAGAGGACACGGGTGCAGAGTTACGTCAGCGGCTTCCAGCAGTTGTGTGAGCATCCCGTGCGCGCGCTGTCTCGCCAGGTCAGACTTCTCATGGCCGAGAGCTGCTGAGCTGGCACGTGCCTGCCTGTGCCTGCAAGCTCAGGTGGGTGCCTTCCGGAAAGCTACCTGCGAAGCCAAGGGATCGCATTCCGCATATAATTGGGACAGCAGATGTGTTGGAGACCACAGTTTAATGTGTGCTTTGGTGACCCACAGGGGACACTTTCTTTTGTATGAAAGTCACTAATAAAAAAGATGGAAGCGCTAACTAATGAAAGTGAGCAGCTGAGAGCGTTGCTGTGTTTGGAACGGGCACACAGAGCTCCTCTTCGTAGGCACAGAAGCATCTTGCTGTTCTCAGTGTCAGCAGCACGTTCAGAGCCATAGATTCATGGACGCTTTGCAGTTTGCTGTTGGCATTAGGCCCTTCCTAAAAGGGCAATTTTGAAATGGCTAGAGATGTGGTAAGGCTGAAGATTAATTGGGATCTGCTATATGTGGCATGTGTGGTTTAGCTGCATCTTCAGTGTCTTCATTGTCATAAATGGAGTGAAAAGAAGATTTTCTTTTTTTAAATACTTTTTTTTCTCTGAAGCTGATCAGTTGGACAGATCTCTGATGGTAGTAGTACGTTCCTGTTATCCAAGCATAAACCTTTTTAAACTGCTTCTGTGCTAAAACCTGAGGATTTTGTCAGAATATTCATGTTCTGTTTTCCAGATGATATCACTCTTGCTTCTTGCCACCAGAAAATCTTCTCTGTGTGCATTTCATCAGCTACATACAAGCCAGCAGTTTAGTAACTGATGTATGTGATTGCTTTTATTTTTGCTGTCTTTTAGCAAAAGCGCAGAGGATGCAAGGTTTGTGTTTGTGTTATGCATTTGGAGAAGAAAGGCTGAGGAAATGTGTCTGGCCTTTCCAGGAGTAAAACAAGGCTTGCAGTGGCCTTTCGTTCCCCTGGGAGCTTATTTACAGCTTTGGGCTGGTGCCATAGATCTGTGCAGGTGATTCCCTGCCCTCTCCCCTTCATGAAACAACTACTTTAAGCCTGATCCAGGATCAATCCTTTGTGATGGGCTGAATCAACAACTGGGATAGGAGTCCCACAGCCGCAGGGGAATTCATGTTGCCTTGCAGATGCCTCCTAGTACTTCTCGCTGCTCACCAGCATCCCTGCTTGTCCGCTTTGAATCTCCTACAGGCCCAAACTCTAGGACATGGTGGTGGTGGTGTGGTTGCAAGTAGTAAAATATAAATAGGTTTCATGCCCTTTGCAAGTGTCTGACACTTGAGTTCCTATTGCCTGCGAAAGCTTGGCTCATGACTTGGTGAATGAGGGAAAAGAGAAGAACGACTTTCACATGATTCCACATTATCTTCATGTTGAAATTACTCCTTGAGTTTCCTTCTCAGCATCTGAGATGGTGATCGGGAGGAGTGCGTTTCTGTGCTCGCCTTGAGGGCCTGTGCTGGGCAGAGTTTTGGTCAGCTGGAAGTTGCTGCAGTGTGGTCTGCTGGCTGGCTAAGCAGTGCCAGCTGCTGTTGTTAAATGCTCTGCCTGCTTGGGGAGCAGTCATTCCTGCAGAGAGTGTTTGCTTTGTATTGCTCGGTGGCTGCCAGTCGGTTATCAGAGGTTGAAGTAGTTTGGGTTTGACCCACAACATGACTCCGGACTGTGTTTTGCCAGTTGTTTGCCCTGATTTCTAGAGGCTGTTGGTGAGTGTTTTCAAGAAGATATACTTAGTTCTTTAATTTGTGTCTACCAGTTATTTCATTTGGATCATTGGCATTCTAGCACTTTATAGTAAGACTTATTTGTGTTTTCTACTCAGTAGCCTTCCGAGCCATTTGCTTTGGATTGCGAATCTGTCTTCAGGAGTTGCTTTCACCTTCCTGTTCGCAAGTGACACATTTATTGTCATGGTGTGTGGTGGTGTGTAAACCTGGAGAGCAAGGTGCTTTACAAAGTGTGCTTGTGTTTGTGGGTTTTTTTGTGAACCAGAGATGCTGCCTGTCTTAATGCCAGTGCTGGTAAACAGCCAGCACTGGCAAACGGCAACAATTTGCTTCAAATAGATTGACTCAATGGCTCAGGCTGCTCCTGTGTTTCTTCCCCACGGGAAACAGATTCCCATCATTCTACTCAAATGGTTCTTAATCACCTTAGAAACGCAAGCTCTTGCATAATTCCTGCTTTTACACTTTAATTTATTTAGGGGAAGTATCACACAGGTTTCTTTAGGCCCAGAAGAGTCTGGAGTAAAAACTGCTCCATCCTTGTAGGAGTTACCCTCATCTCTCTTCTGCTGCAGGAGGGAGGAGTGCCAGCAAGCCCCGGGGTCTGGGCAATCTCAAAGGAAGTATAGCCAAGCAACGTTAATGGACTTTTGGAACAAGGCTAGCAGTGCGGTTGAGTCTTGATTGGTGTGTCCAGACGTGTCTCCTTGCCACCCTGCTGATCATCTGAGGTGTTTGTCTTCTAGACAGGCACTTTGACCTAGCTATGGTTAGTCATCATACCTACACACCCGAGTCCTTGCAGGTGGTTTATGCGAGTCCGTTTCTGTTTCAAGCTGTTGGTTGAGATGACAGAGAAGTTGGTATCACCTCTCCCATGCTGGGTTTCTCATTGTGCCTGCTGTGTCGATGTGCCATAGCTGGGACAGCCGTAATCCACCATTCTTTGCTTCAAGCTTTGTAACCTGCCCTCCAGGTGACGTGTGTGGTCTCAACCTTCAGCTGTATTCAGCTGGCAGTGTGTGGAGTCCTCTCTTTTCCAGCCTTGCCCATCGCCCCGCTGCAGCACTGGTACGACTAACTTTGTGATACTGACCCTTGTCAACCTGTTGTCCTTGAGGGTGGTCGTAGGAAGCACGTACACAGGGTAATTTAGAGGTATTTTTTCATCAGTGTTGTAGTAGAAAATGCAGGTTTGCACCACTAATGCCAACAAACCCTGGTTTCCAAGTGAATGTAGTCCAGCGCTTTTTTCCACCAGCTTCATGTTCTTTGGGAAGCTTTTCAGTGCTTGCCATGTTATGGGAGCCGAACGCATCGCTGCTGCCGGCTGCCTTGAAATGTAGTGACGTGTTCCTGTACAGTGAAAGGGGATGTGGGATTTTTGTCTTACTGTTGCACTATACATTATATATGGTTTGGCTCTTTGTTCTTCTTGAAATTCCCAAACATGTAGGGTGTTTCACTGATGATTGCTGCACTGAGACCTCTTCCCTGAATCCTGCCCTTGATGATCAGGGTGCAAGTGGGCTAAAGGAAGGGCTGTATCTCAGCAAATAAACACGAGGTGGCTTTGCAGGAGGGAGCGCGTGAACTTTTGCTTGCCTCATTTACAATGTCTCTCTGCCTTTGCCATTGCAGAGGTTAACAGGTAATATTAAGAACAAATCAGGGCTCCTAGGTGATAGCAGTATAGTTACCCATTACTGCTCACAAACTGTGGGTGCTTCGGGGAAGTTAATGACTATGTTGCGTGCCTTGTACAGGAAAGGCAGTCTTCTGGCATGTAAAGAAACAGCTATTTCAGTACAACAGAATAGTTTCAGTGTTGCCCACGTGAAAATGCTGTTCGTCAACAAACACAAAAATCAACTGTATTTGCCACCTGCTTTCAGAAGCAATGCATTTTTGAATTAAATAGGAATACAGATCTTCTCGATTTATTTACAAATTTCCTTATTTTCTTTTATTTTCCTTATTTAAAGAACTGTCTTTAAAGGTCTAAATATCTGAAGAATTAAATACTAATTACAAATATTGTGACAAAAAGTTGCTCAAGTTATTTGGTAAAGAAGAACACTTATTGTTTACTTCAATGTCCTGTGGTCAAGATAGTGGTCACAGCATGTTTCGTACCTCAGTTGCTGTTAGGTTCTTACATGCATAGGCATTTCTTGCTTCTGTGTGAAAGGACACGTTTGCTGGTAGGCGATAGCACCTTCACAGTGTCATGGCATCCTTGAAAACTGAGGACAGGGATCATGCACTGCGAATCCACGGTTACTAGGGTCGCTTAGTTATAATGCATTGCATTTCAGAGCTGCATCCGCTGTCCTAATATTTTTGTAGGATGTAGAGTTGCAGGCAGATATATCAGTACGAAAATAGACTTGTGTCTGTGAAGAAGCATGTGCTGAGGATTGAACTTTGCCCTGCCAGGTCGAAGGAGATTTTTGCTGTAGATTAACAATGTTTTTTTCCCTAGTTCAGTGAGCAGAACGAGCACTGGGGTCTGGCTTGGATGGGAGCTGGCTTTCCTTGGCTGGGCCTGGAGAGCAGTCATTCAGCAGGGGACATCCAGCTGGTTTCAGACTGTCACAGGAATGATTTGAGGGAAGGATTTGAATCTGGATTAGTCCAGAGGCAGTTTGGGTATCTAAGTTTCCGTTCAGTGGTGACAGTATCTAAAGTGAATGCTTTTGCATAATCCCAGTTGCAGCCCTGGGAACACCCCAACGGCTCAGACACTGGATGCAAGAAGATGCGTCTTTGTAGGGATCTGAAATAGGGATCTGTACAGGCGTGACTTTCTATTATTTCAGAAATCAGTGGGTTACTTGTTGGTTTTCTGCTAAATTCTTCTCTGAACTTGCATATTTATTGAGTTACAGTAAATAAATTATTGCGTGCCTTTTATCTTGCTGTTTGTGGGATGGTAAGGTGGTTTCAAGGTGACTCGCAGACAAGGCTTTCTGTTTTCATGGGTACGGTTGTCTTGAAACAGTTTATACAGTGCTGCTGGACCACTCTGGCAGCATCCCTGCCAGATGCACGCGGGTACCTAGGAGTAGGAATCTCTTAAGATTTTTTTTTTTGCCTGTTTGAGACTGACATACACAACGTTGGTGTGGGAAAGACCTGTTTCTGTCACTGGTGGTGGTTACTGTGCTTTGTGCTGGGTAGCCTGGTGGTTGTGGTCTGCCACCTTTGACTTCCCTTTTTATTTAATACTTTTTCCCTGTTTTGGGGGGGGGAAACCCCTTTTGTTTTTTTTGGTTTTTTTTTTGGTCAGATGTGAATGTTCATTGTTTCCTCTTACCTATGCTTTTCAAGGACCCATGTAGTTCATAAGAGATACTGTCATCGTTCATTTTTGGAGTACAGGACCTGCTCCCTAAGTTTCCAATCCAGTGCCCCTTGTGTGTTAAATTGCTGCCTGCCAGGTCGAAGTGGCTCACCTGAGTGGGTAGCAGTGGTGGTGAGCTCTGCTGAGAAAGCATCTGGGAGGATGGGAAGGAACAGGCTGGAGGCGACGGTGATGGGGAGAGGAGCTGGATGAAAGGGAAGCTGTGGCTGAGTGTCTGTGGCATGTGCCTCAGCTGCGCCTGTACTGGGGGGATTTGCCATCTGTCTACCACATTTTTGTGGTCTTGATCTTTTACGTTGTTTCCTTTGCTTGCCTGTGCCTAGATACCTGGGAGGTCCCATTCGAGGAGATCTCGGAGCTGCAGTGGCTGGGCAGCGGCGCGCAGGGAGCAGTCTTCCTGGGCAAATTCCGGGCAGAGGAGGTGGCCATCAAGAAAGTGAGAGATCAGAACGAAACGGATATCAAGCACTTGCGGAAACTCAAACATCCTAACATCATTGCATTCAAGTAGGTTGTGAAACTTGTTAGTAACATAACTTCATCCAGGGAAGAGCCATTCGCTTATGTACCTGGCCAGGTTTTTAAACTCCAGGGACTAAGCTGTCTGTAGGATAAAATGGGTGGTCATCGCTCCTCTCAAATTGTTGCACACTGTTGTGAAAACAAACCTATAGACACCATTCTCACTCAGTTCTGCGCTTTGCGCACAGGCTCACAAAACACCTGCTGTGAGCCCTACAAATCTGTAGGTGTAGGAGTTGGAGGAAACCCACCCCTGTCACAAATGAGGTTCCTCCTGTCCAAAGCATGCACGCAACATTCCCCTTCCCCTTCGGGATGGAGAGCTGTTAGCAGAGCCCTGCCCCTTGATTGCCACCTTGGAGAGTTGCTCTGGCACTTCTACACTACTGATCCTCACTGGCTGTGTTTTTTCTTTGACAGAGGAGTTTGCACTCAAGCCCCATGCTACTGTATCATCATGGAGTACTGTGCACATGGACAGCTCTATGAAGTCCTGCGAGCAGGGCGGAAAGTCACCCCTCGGCTGCTTGTGGATTGGTCCACGGGGATTGCAAGTGGGATGAATTACCTGCACCTTCACAAAATCATCCATCGAGACCTCAAGTCACCAAAGTGAGTCTCTAGCTACTGAAATATCCTCCACTCATCATTATTGTTTTTTTTTTTTTTCTTGATAAAGTTAGGTCAAAAGCCCTGTTATTTTTTTTCCATGTTGACTCAAAACTAACGAAAGTGAAACTAATGAAACTTGTTGGCACTCCCCTCCTGTCCTGCAGTTTAACAAGGCTGGAAATTTTACCGCTAACTTACATGATAAATAGCAGTCAGGAAATATTTCTAATGATTTGATGGTGTCTGGTTCTTTCTGAAAGTGGAATATTCTGTTGCCTCCTGCTTTCTTTTTTTTCCTTCTTTATATGTTTTTTTATTGTTTCTCTGGTTTTCTGGAATGTGACTTTCTCACTTCTCTGTTGCTTTCTGACTGAAACAATCTGGCCGCTTATATTCTTATTCCCTAGATGTTTATCGCTTCTTTAGCCTGTGACATGACTGTGACAGTGCATTAAGAATAATACTTTTTCAGTGGTTTACAGCACAGTTTAAGGTACAGTTTTACTAAAATTTTGAAAAGTCTCCAGACATAGTGAATCTTCAGTGACTTACTTGCATTTTTATCTAGATTGATTTTTGATTTGTAGCATTTAGAAGTGCATTTGAGATACAAAACACAACCACCCCAAAGAAAGTGAGTGCTTTTGTCGGTCAAAAATGCATAATCTTTTTTCTTGTGCTGCAATTGTGAACGGCATGGCCTCATCAACTGTTTGTGTTGATTAGAAGGGATTTACTCGAGGTGGCTGTTGTGGTACATGAAAATGACTGCAAAATGCTGATTTCCTTTTTTTTTTCTTGCCCCCCTCCCCAGTGTTTTAGTTACACACACAGATGCAGTAAAAATTTCAGATTTTGGTACATCTAAAGAACTCAGTGATAAAAGTACCAAAATGTCTTTTGCGGGAACTGTGGCTTGGATGGCCCCGGAGGTGATACGCAATGAGCCTGTCTCCGAGAAGGTGGATATCTGGTGAGTAGTAGCAATGTCTAAGTATCTTCACCTTCTGTTTAGCCACTTGGTTTCCCAGCATTTACATATTCAGCACTCTTTTCTCATCCTAGGCGTGGGAATAATTTGCTCTGTGATGGACTATTCCTTTCTCCACCTGCCTAGTGCCCTAAAATTTGTTACTGAATCATGGGCTGTAATGGAAAGAGAAATGACCTGCATGTGTAAAAAGCTGTGTGTTGAGATCCAAAGGTACCTCATAAGGCTTTAGGCAGACTGTGTCTCTCAGTAGCAAATGCAGCAGTTCTTCCCTGTGTCATTATTCTGGCCAGAGCTTTCTTCCACTCCTGCTGCTTAGTGTCCCCTCAGCAAATTCTGCAGCCAGGGTATTTTTCACTTGCTTTCTACCCTTTTCAGGGCCACACTTGAGCTGTAGGGAGGTCTCTACTCTGTTAGCTTGAAGGGTCTGACCAGCTTTTGCTTTCTGCATGCTGGGCTTGGCTGTTACATGTACAGCCACAGGATTACAGTCCAGTGAATCTAACCCCAAATCCAGGAGGGAGGAAACCAGGATACGTTGTAAGAGTTTTGAACACCTATTTCCATCCCAGGTGAAATGTACTCTGTGTCCAAAGCAACACAAGCAAAGGTTCAGATCCCTGTGCTATTAAAAATGCTTGAGGCAAGACTCAGCCTTGGAGCTCCTCTGGGATGCCTCTCTGCAGGTTTCAGGGTCCTCAAGGGAGCTGCATCTCTCTTTCTGCCTCCTTATTTCTGCATATTAAATGTCAGTAGCCAGGACAAATGGCCTTATCCCTGCTTTACAGCCAGGATGAATTTTCCTTCTTGTGGCTTTTCAGCTTCAAATGCTGTCACCTCCATTATGCAGTGTGAAGCTGCAGGTCGAAGCTGCGAGTGATGCAGAGTGCGAGTGGAGTCAGACAGCAGCCTGCTGCTGGTGTTTTAGCCCACGGTTGGGTCATGGCTTTAAATGAAGGGAAAGGGAAAGTCTTGTCATGTGCGGTACGCAGCTCTGCTTGTGCCTGCAGTGTTTTGCATGTGTGGATGTAGCAGGCCGTAGCATAGCCAGCTCTTCTGGGAGAGACTCTTGGATTGTTTTGGAAAGAGAATACACTCACCGTTTGTCTCCTCTCTTTGAATCACAGGTTCATGAGGAGGAATAGTGCTGGATTTCCACCCTCAGCTTTCGGGCCTTTAGAATGGCTCAGGTTCAGGAATATTGTGTGGAGCATCATGCCCAGTAAAAACCAGCTGCTAGTTCTGCTGAGGACTGTAGGCACTCCTTTACTACTTTCCTCAGTGACTTAGGGATGTTGTTGCTCTTTGGTGCAAGTTCCTCTTCAGTCTGCTGCAGTGGTGATTGCTCAAACTCCTCTTTGACATCCGTTCTTCCCCCAAGATGAGTAAAAGCGATGTTCATGAATGCTGGCAACAAATGAGAACAGTTCCTAAGCAGCTTATATGTCTGCTCTCTCTCATCTTTAACAGCATGCTAAAAAAAAAAAAATCTATAATCTTATCAGGAGCCTTGAAAATCCTTTGTCAGTTTTTAATCATAACAAAGCTGAAACCAGATGGGGTTTCCTTGTGGTTTGTCCAACCACCTGGATCCCTGCTTTCCTGCAGCCAACAGAAAAAAAAAAAATTTGAGAAAAAAAAATGTTCAAATGCTTTGGAGTTGGGTTTTGTTTTTCACCCCCAGATAATTTGAATCCAATGGGCTTTGAGGGAGCAGCGTTTTTCACATGAAGTTCTGTTTCCTGACTGATGATTGTTCAGACCCAGGCAGTTTGTCCCTTAGATGTTCTTCTGTGCTTAATAAAAGCAACTTGATATTAGTACAAGCCAGAAGCACACTTCTCACTTTTCACCTGGTTTGACTTGCCGGCAGGCTTGGCAGGGTCGGTGTCCCACAGACGGATGGGGCATGCAGGTAAGGTGATCTGTCTGGGTTTGAAAGTGAGACGGCTGTACTTCACCTCGTATCGCAGCCTGGTGGTTGACGTGCAGTAAGAGGGGTGCTGGTTCTCAGCAGCATTTTCTTTACTTCTGCGTCGACTGGTTTGATACTACTTTGGTGTTTCATTGGGTGAAGATTGTAAATAAAACAAATAACTCTTTGCTGTTATAAGTTAAGCGTTTGGCCTTTGCTGATGATTTCACTAAGGAAGAGAAGCAAAAGTTTTCTTACCTGTTTCTTTCAGTTCTTGTAATAAGAGGTTCTTTTCCAGACAAGTTCTCTTCATGTTTTCTTTATTTTTGCCTTCCTTTCTTCAGCATAAAAGAAATAGCAGATGAGACTGCATGTGCTTTTGATACTGACATGTTGCGTTTGTATCTTAATTTCTGTGTTGCAGCAATTGTAGCGAGGAGTCTCAGACCTATGAAACTCTTACCTAGGAGTACACGTAACAGCAGAGGGAGCTTTTGGCTAGAGAAAAAAAGTTAAATGCGAAAAAAAACCCCCCAAAACACAATCTTTGCTCTGTTCTCTCCAAGACTCTTATCAGTTCTGTCTGTCATGTAGACTTTTGACTGTTCTTATTGGTAAGAACAGATCATCTGCCACCTCAGAAAAGCTGTCTTTCCTCTTTATTTAACAGGAGTAAGAATTCATCTATACAGAAAAGCTTCTAATGTGCTTTCAGGATTTTTAAAATCTTGCAGAGAAATAGGAAAGGATGGGTGAAAACCAGCATGGCTTGGTGTTCAGCCCAGGGCTGGGGCAGAGGAGAAAGAATTACCTCCTGTATGAAATAGCTATTCTTGATTGAAAACTAGTTTGTAAACTCTGTTGCACCTACTTGCAATTTGAGATCAGACATACCTGACAATCAGTGATTTTTTTTTTTGTGTGTTTTGTCCAAGTTTCAGATGTTTCTGTTAAATTGAATTCACACAGACATTTTTCTCCTGGTTTGTTTCTTCGTCAGGTCGTTTGGGGTAGTTTTGTGGGAGCTGCTTACAGGAGAGATTCCCTACAAGGACGTGGACTCCTCGGCCATCATTTGGGGAGTGGGCAGCAACAGCCTGCACCTTCCTGTCCCTTCCACGTGCCCAGATGGCTTCAAAATCCTCATGAAGCAGACCTGGTAAGAGCCTGAACCCTGCACAGACCTAGGGCTGGCTCCCAGCTCTTGCCAGACCCCCAGTAAAACCAGTGAAACCAGAGTCAGGGTTGGGACTGTTGAGACCAGAGCAGAGGGCTCTTAAATACTCTCACATTTGTCACGAGAGCAGTAAGCTTTAACATTTTGAATTCTGCTTCCTTGTGACAGCAGGCCTGGGCCCCAGAAGGACCTTTGGAGCTTAGAAGGAGGTAGGAAGAGATCTGTCTGGTTTGATGGGTGGACGTTGTTGAGACGGGCTAGTGAGTGAGAAGGAGTTGAGCAGGAGAGAAATGGGAGATAGAGCCTGACAGGAGCCCAAGCATGGTGACACTCACCCAGGAGCTGCCTGTCTGCTGTGAATCAGGAGCAGGCAGCATGAAAGTCATCTTCAGTAACCTTCACAGAGGTGGTTGCTTTGTTGTAGCAAAGCAGGTGGTGAAAGGTAGCTCTGTGCTAAGAGATAAAGGAGCTGGAAGGAAAGTAGGGGTAAAATTTCTTGAGGCTGGCTCCAGAGTGAAAGGAAATGATTTTTCATTCTGAAACCCCCTTGTAAGTGACTGGCTTTTGTACTGAACAAAGAGAAATTCGAGCTTTCTGTACGAAACCACGATTTGACAGATATAGATATGGAAGATGCTTTCAGTTTCCTCCACGTGCCAGATTAGAGTTGAAATTCATTGTCTTGTGTTTAATGCAGTAATGCTTTGTCTCTTTGCATCTTGACACAGAGTGTAAGTGGTCTTCCATCATTTTCCCACTCCATGAGTTTTACCAGCCATCCTCCTGATGGCCCAAAGGGAAAAACAGGCCAGAGCATCCATGGGTCTTTTCAAGCGGCTGTTTACCCCCCTGCCCCTGGGCTGCAGCAGGCCATGCTGCTGCGGTGTCCATGCTAGGCGTGCTCTGCCTGGCTGCCCAAGGCAGGAGGCAGCTTGTGCAGCTCCGAGCACCGAGTGCGTATGCTTGGATCCCTACCTGGTGGAAGTGGGTGGGTTGTAGGGGAGAGGTGGCTGAAGAAGCTGTCTGCAACAGGTCTGGTGGGTTCAGTCCTGAACCTCGAGTGTTGGTCTCTTTTTTTCAAAGATACAAATGGTTTTGTGCTTGAATGTGATCTTACAGAGGTGTTCGGTGGATCACAGTACTGTGTAGACTCAGGCATGTACTATGTGGCAACTATGTGGCTTGGTGTTTATAGACACCCTGTTTTGTTCAATGTACATTATCATTTCTACTAGATTGAGTATTCCCATTATAAAATTTTGAAATCAATGGGATAGTGAACTGAGATCTGTTTCTTCTTGACAAACAAATAGGAACAGTCTCAATTTGTATCCTCTCTTTCACTTTGTAATCCCATTTTCCTATTTTAAATGGTTTTCGTCTCTTTTTGTTTCTTTGGAATAGGTCACCACAAGCCAAAAACTGCATATAAAACAACTCTAGCACAAAAAACTCATATTCAGCAAAAGAAAAAACCAGAAAAGCTCCTTTGCTCTAATCTGTCAGCTACATGATTCAGAGAATATGTTCTAGTGAGGAAAGCCTTTCGGAAGGGTAGGAGAAGCTAGCACTGTTAACCTCATCTCATGCTGGGGTATTGGTCTGTTTTGCTCCAGGCAGAGCAAGCCCCGGAATCGTCCCTCCTTTCGGCAGACACTGATGCACCTGGATATTGCATCTGCTGACGTGCTGGCTACTCCTCAGGAAACCTATTTCAAATCCCAGGTAACTGGAGAATGGCTGTAGTCCATGACTATGAGAGTTAGCTCCAAGGATCTGACTTCAGAGGCTGCACTGAGTGCAGCTAAAGTCTGGATCCATGATTTCAGTTTGATTCCTGGGGAGAAGCAAACTGATGGGTATTTTAAAATCTTTGACCCAGGCTTTCACAAACTGAGACATCTGCCGATTTTAGTCAGAAACTCAGCGTTGTCTCATTCATTTCTCCCTGAGACTGCTGACATTAGATGTTCTGCTCCCAGCTGTTCTCCCAGTACTGTTGTGTGGGAGAGCACGAGACTGCTGGAAGGGGAACCACTGCATTTATAGTGAAGATGAGTAGGGCAGCCAGTGGGCCAAAGAGCTGTTACAGAGCAGTGAAGGGACTCTGGGACTTTCAGGGAAGGTCTAGAAGTGTGTTCTTAGAGATTCCTTCGAGTCCTGCCCAGTGAGCTATTGTCTGCTCCCAAGCAAGGAGTGAGAATGAAACCTTGCCTTCAATACAGAGGGTCTGTACAGTGCTGGGCTGTATGGGAGGAGGTGGGTGCGTTTATTAAAGCTGCAAGAACCAGGGCTCCAGGGGGCAAATAGAGTTAGTATTACCCTAGTGACACTCAGCACTGCCATCAGTATAGGTTTCCTTCTGTCATCAGTATAGGTTTCCTTTTCTGTTTACTTTAAATGCCAATAGGGAAGAAAATCTTGTCTTGGGATGAAAAGAGCTGTAGGTATTTTTAAGACTGTGTTTTAGAAAATGCCTGTATGTTTTAAATGATCTAATCAGAACACAAAATTGGAAGTACCATTTGAAAATGCTGAAACTGAACATGCTGCAACGTTGTTACCCAAAAGAATTCATCTAATAGAAACACGTTTTCAACCCAAACCTGTAATTTTCTGCAGACACAAACAATGTTGTCCCCAGAGTTTTTCTTTGGTGCAATCAGGGATCCCAATCCTTTGTAAATACCTGAAAGTAAATTGCTTCCCTAGGCTGAGTGGAGAGAAGAAGTGAAGAAACATTTTGAGAAAATTAAAAGCGAAGGAACTTGTATCCACCGGCTAGATGAAGAATTGATTCGTCGTCGAAGAGAAGAGCTGAGGTCTGTTGACAGTCTTTGATAGTTACTGCTCACTTTTCCCATCCAGCTAAATGAGCCCAGCTCCCTCAGCTTCTCTTCACAGGGCATGTGCTCCAGCCCCTGGCTGTTTTCATGCTCCTCTTGTACTCAGGACCCCAAAACAGGACTCAGCATTCCTGGTGGCATAAATTTGGGCAGCCTCAATTCCTTGTGAGTCCAGAAACTGAAGTTCCCACATGTATGCCCTAGGCCTTGAGCACTGCTTGGCTGAGGGAGAACTATAGAGAAACAGCGGAAACTGTCCCCGCTCTTGGGTGGTCTGAACAGTTTGCTCTGGGCAAGAGGGGCTTGTGTGTTTACCAGGGAATATTTCTGCCTGAGTTTTTATGCTTGTGATAAGAGCGCTGAAGCAGCTACATCCATCTCCATGGAAAACGCATCTTGCAGTTTGCTGTGAGCTTTCTCTGCCCTGTTACTTTCTTTGGATTAGTTATTTCCAGAGAAGTGAACGCACTCCCAGCTAATGGGAGTGAACACATCATCAGCCTGCAGATACTCGTTTTGAACATTAGACCAACTTAAAAATGAAACAGAATGTTTATTTAAGAAAGTGTTATCTTCTGTGATACAAATTTGCAAATATAGTTATGACAGAGAAACATCAGACACCAAGTAGCACTTCTATGTCGAACCTGAGAAACCAAAGGAAACCTTGTCCAGCCCGTTTGATGTAGTTGCTGATCAGTGTTCGCTAGCCCTAGGGAGTTTTGATGGTCGTATTTTTCATCTGTTGTTAAAGATGTCTCCTGCAACTATACTGTAGCTGTAGGGGCATATTACTTTTTATTAAATAAAAACCAATGACTTCTGTCCCTGTTTCCTTAGAAGCTGATGTAGCCCTTTCTCTGTGCAAACAGGATGATCAGGGCTCGGCCAAAGGGCTTGTGAATGCATGTGAGGCATTTGCAGATTCTCTAGTGAGAAATGTAGCCAAACTCTTTCAAGACTGTTAAGTGCTTTCTAAATCATATCACGATGCATTGCTATATTAAGCCTTTAATCATCACTCACTGTTAGCTCTGTCTGGGGTTGAGGGCAATACAGCTGGCAAATTTGACTTTTAGAAGGCATTTTCCTAAAGCACCTGTACTTTTCCTTATTCTCTTCTCTTGGTCCATGGACATCAGATTGTGGAATAACAACTTTTCTGTTTTTCAGACATGCATTGGATATCCGCGAACACTATGAGAGGAAGCTGGAACGAGCCAATAATTTATATATGGAGCTCAGTGCTATTATGCTGCAGCTGGAGGTCCGTGAGAAGGAGCTCATAAAGTATGTATCTCTGGGCATAATGGCATGCCATGCATGTGGCAATATGTGTACAGGAGAAAGAAAAACAGTGCTTCATTTGTAAACACTTGTAGATTTAGTGTCCCCTGACAAACTTCCAGGGTAAAGAAAGAGCTGGCAAGCAGAAAGAGGCTCCTGAAGAGCAGATTACTGCAGACCACTCAGTGCACACATCTTTACCCAGTGTTTACTGCCTCGGAGAAAGGCACCTTTCCCGTTCGGTGTTGCCATCCTTTGGCCCTTTTGTAAAGAGAAAAGCAGGGCTGTTTCTGGACTGTGCACCAGGGTCATGTTCCAACTGCCTGATCACTGCAGAGAGAGTTTAGAAAAAGACCATGTCCTTTCCCGGAACAGCGTGTTGTGTTGCACCCAGCCATAGCTGAGGAACAGGCATGCAGTGTGCTCACAGTGGGGCTGTGTTTCTGTCCAGCAGGACCTACAACTGGGTAGAGAGAGAACTGATCCATTTGGTTTTTTTCTTCCACAATGTTTCAGGAGGGAGCAAGCAGTGGAAAAGAAATACCCCGGAACTTACAAACGCCACCCGGTCAGACCGATAATCCACCCCAATACAGTGGAGAAGCTGATGAAAAGGAAAGGGGTCTCCCATAAACCAGGCAGCCAGACTAAACGGTAAGAAGTAACAACCGAGTTCTGTGCCAGGAACCAGCAGTACATCCCTGCTGAGATGGGCGGGGAGCTTACTTCCCTTTGAGTCTGGTGACAACAAGGGACAAGCCAAAAGGGTGTTCACTCTTGGGCCGGGTCTGAACCTCAGAACCACAATTGTTTAATTATCTTAAGGTAAAAGGGATGAATCCTGCCATCTCTTCTACCTGGGCAGCTCTCTGGAACTGTTTGGTCCATATGATTTTTTCACAGATGACAGGAGATATTTAATGTGTGTCTTGAATTCCTAACTGTCCAAGCAAAGAGCAGTTAGATCATCCTTGACTTGAATGGTAATAAGCAGAGTGAGGGATTGTGGAAATCAACCAGTCTTCAGGGAGGATGGGATAATTTCCGAGGAGTTAAATTGGGATTAGAGATTTGGGAACTCATGCTGTCCTTTCAGCTATTTCTCTTCTGCATGACTTTCAGAAAGTGAGACTTTCCTTCTATTTTATTTTTGCTTTTTCTGGGATTCCAGGAGTTAGGGAGTCCTGATTAACAGTGAATAATCACTTCTGAATTAATATCAGCATGTGCTTCTGAAATGAACATGGCTGATAACCGTCAGCAGATTGGGACCCTGTTGTGCTGAGCATTGTATATGCACACAGTAAGAGACCTGCCCGCCCTACACCAAGGTCTTAGGAGGGAGCTATTTTGGGAGCAGAGCATCAAAATCAGTGCAGCAAAAGGAGAGTAGGTGGCAGATATTGGAAAAAGCAGCAAGAAAGGAGTGTAGCGCATGATGGGCTGAACAGAAAGGACATTGAGGGAAGAGGATCAAAGGAAACCTAATGCAGAAGTCAAACAGCTGAAGGGGAGGGAAGCCTGTAGATTTTGGAAAGCAGAGTGTGCTTGTGGCTACAGCTGCCTCTTCATCCTGGCTCTGAGCTGATGTCATGTTTTTAGTTTGTGGTTTAATGTGTGACTTCTGCTGACTGTCTCTCAGGCCAGATCTGCTGAAGTCAGAGGGCATACCCAGCACAGAAGCAGCATCCAATGGCTCACCAGTCTCAGGAAGTCCCAAAATGTCAACGCTGAGCGGCAAAAGCCGCTACCGCAGCAAGCCACGTCACCGCCGAGGGAACAGCAAAGGCAGCTACAATGATTTTGCAGGGATCTTGAAAAACCAGCCAGTGCAAGATGATGCACCCCCACCTCCACCTCATAATCATTCTCATCATCCCGGCCTACCACAGCAACCTGGCCACAGCCATCCCCATGGCCATCACTCACGGCTTCATGCCCACGGACAAGATATTGCAAACTGCGCAAACAACTTAAGGTACTTTGGCCCTGCAGCAGCGCTGCGGAGCCCTCTCAGTAACCACGCGCAGAGGCGGATGTCTGGTTCCAGCCCCGATCTCATCTCCGCTGCCATGGAAGCAGATTGCCGAAGGAATCTGGAGAGCAAAGAAAGCAAAGCTGATCATTGGGAGTGTTGCAAAACAGATCCATATAATTCCTGTCTTCAGTGCAGGGACGAGGACAGTGGTCAGGTACAGATGTCATCTGCTGCTGAAACAGGGATGAGCCATTCTCAGTCACCAACATCTGTTTCCCTATACGAAAATGCGCAGTTCATTGAGAAGATGGACGAAGAGGGCTTCAGCAACTGTAAGTCAGGGTCCGCACTAGGCACTCCCCAGCACATGGCTTCCTCAATGCTACCTTGCAAAGCAAGACCTCTTCAAAAGGTAAGGACAAACCATAGTGCTTAAAAAAAAAAAAAAAAAACCCACCCAAAAGCTTGCTCCTCTTTCTCCTCTTTTCCTCTCCACCAAAAGAAGGTGTGTCACATGGGCTGGTGTTTGGGTAGAGGATAGTAGCAAAGCCGTGTTTTCCATGCGCAGAGCAGTAGAGTTAGGCGTACAACTTTACCTTGAAGAAATCATGCCTATCTGGACTCTGCTTTGTGATCTGGATATACTTTTAAAGTCAATTTCATTGAGAAGTACTGTAGGCATATCAGAGTGTACTGCTGATAATGAGGCTTGTCAGATGTGGTTTTCATAGGGTTTAGTTCTCTGTTACTTGCAATTTAGCCCGTTTTTGTTTGAGCTGAACCTTAGCCTACTGAATTTTTGCTGTTGAAAACAGTCTCAATGTTTTCAAGCCTTTCTCAAAACAAAGGAAGGGGCAAATGCATTCTTGTGGTGATGTTAAATATCGCATACCAGTTTCACTGAGAATCTGTAGCACTTCTGTGCCTTGGAACAGAAATTCAACATTTGCCATGGTCTTTTGCTGTACCTGCCAGAAACTGTCCCCCTTGACCAAAAATCGTAGTTCTCATGTATTTTGTGAACATTTGCAAGAGTCAAAAAGATGTTACAGCACAGTTGTACAGAAATAAAGCTGTTCTTCATTTTTCCTGCTTCCGTCCAGGTGGTGAGAGAAGTAGGAACCAGTCCAAGTGGAGTTCAAAGAGCAGGCAAACTGGGCCTGGGTGGAAAAGTACCAGACGAGTGTGGGCCCAGAGCAAAGGGAGGAGGAGGAGGATTACAAGGGGATGGGATGGGATGGGATAGAGGCAGAGTCTGAACCAGATGTTTTCAGTTTAGATAGGATAGGAGGAGGCTGTAAAAAGAGCAGAGTGCAGGGTGTAGATTTGGATGGGAAAAGGAGAATAAAAGATTCTGTACTGACTGAAGTAGACAGTGGAGCAAACCTCAAGTTTTCCAGGTGGTGAAACCCACCAGCAAAGGCTGTGTCATCCCCCATCCTGCTTTGTGATGGGTGCATGTAGAAAAAGGTTGAAGTCGTAAAACCAGGAGTGCCAGATCAGCTCAAAAATTTAAGTGGATTTCAGCGTGATACTAATTACTTGATTTGTAAAAATCCGGAACATTATGTACTCAGTGCCTGGTAAAGTACTCCAGCGTACTTGAAAGTCAATCACTCCAAATTCAGAAGTGGCAGCATTAAGACTGCCTGAAAAAATGTCCTGGTAAGAAGATGTCTGAGTCAGTTTTCGCTAATACGCAGGTTATTTTCTTGCCTGGATTGCTGCAGCCCATTGACACAGTGACTTTGTCCTGGAAGACCAAGGGGCAACTGTGTAGTTGCGTGTTTGTTCTTTCACAAATGCGATATCATTCTTGTCCTTGTTTTCTGCCAGAGCGGTGATGACTCTTCAGAAGAGGAAGAGGGCGAAGTAGACAGTGAAGTGGAGTTTCCTCGTAGACAAAGGTAAAAGGTGAATTCACTCTAATCTCTCTTTGGTGGGACAAAACTCAGGAGGAGAACTGTGATAGCGGCTGCGCACCAGCATTGAAACTGTGGAAGGTCCTGGCAGAAGAACAGAATCGCATTCAGTGCGTTGCTTCCAGCCGCAGTTCATCCTTCATGTTCACTCACTGTTTTCAGCCTGTTCTGGGATGTCATCTCCAGCGCAGCTTTTCTGCTGCAGGCTGTTAGTAGCACAACTTGATCACACTTGATATTCAGCGTATGAAAATAAGCTGCTGCATCTGTTTCACCAGGATCAGACTTGCTGGATGTTGGGACCCTTTGTGGACTCTTTCACATGTTGTTTATCAGCTGTTGCTGCAGTGGGGCTGACTCCAGCATCTTCGTAGTTGAATTCACATAGGATTGAAGAGCTAGGTGACAACCTGGCAGATCAAATTTGATGGTGTCGCCTGTAAAATAAGACTTGAGGGGGCGTTCCTGCCTAAGCCTCTGTAATAGTGGGCTTTACAGTCCTGTGCTCAGGAAAGAGATCACGGAATTGGTGCTGTGGCTTTACAAAAGCAGCTGCTTGAAGTGCAGAAGTGATCCAGTGGGCAGATAGGTTAAGGGTTGTTAGGAAAGGAGCAGAGAAGAAAATAAAAGCTTGTCTGCTGTTGTATACACCCATGGCACACCTGCAGCTTGTATCCTAAATGCCACCTTCATTGCCTCAGCTCGAAGACGATGGTAAAATTTGAAAAGGTACTAAGAAGTGTGACAAGAATGGTTAGAGATGGTTTGTGTAGAAGAAGAGATTAAATCCATGAGAAATGTTTGTCTAGCAGGAGAAAAAGCGATGCTGGAGGTGCATGAAATTGTAATTTATGTGGAGAAAATAGACAAGGAATGATTCCTCACAGTCATGTTAGGGACACCTAGTGAAGCAAACAGGGGCTTTAAAATGAACAAAAGAAAGTGCTTTTTCCATCCAAAACACGTTCAGATGTGGAGCTCATTGTGAAGCTATGCTCTGGAAATCAAAACATAAACAAGTCATAAGTGTTCAATTTATGGAGTAGGATGTTCAGCACTGTCATCCAGGTTTGATCCTCAGCTCCGAAGTCTCATTTGCTGAATGGTACAAACCAGGTATATCTCCTGATGTGCCAGGAGAAAGCAGGCTCTGTCTGCACACCCTGTTCTCCTGCTTTTCTGAGATTATTTCTTCCTGCCTAGGGCTGGAGACGGAATGCGGGGCTAGATGAGTTTTCTGACTCATACGGTTCTTGTGTGATTGTTGCTTCTTCTGTGATTTACCGACTTGGAAGACAAATTGCTTTTCCTGAATTCAGTGTGATGACCTGTTGTGGGTCTCCTGGCATGTTCAGTCAACTGATGTTTTGTACCATTCCTGTTGAATCCTGGCATGAGGCAATTTCCACGTTCAAGTAACTGTGAGCTTATTTTTTGAGTGCACATACCTACATTTCAGCCTGGCTGCTGGGATCACTGCCAGGTGATGCAGATATTCCCAGTTCAATTAGCTTGAGTCCTGTTTTTAGCAAAAAGGACTGTTAAAGAAAAATATGCTCCGAGGCAGATCAGCTAATATGAATATGTAGCAGACAAGACCAAATAAGAACAGATGAATTTAAAGATGCAGATCCTGAACTAAATCATTTGAAAGGTGGTAGATGTCCATAGCTCCAAGGTGTGAAAGGCAGCCCAACACTTCGCAGAGCTCTTGCTGCCAGCCTTGCAGATCAGTTATGACTCAGCTGGAGATGTGTTCTTAGGGTGGGAAGAGGCTCTTGGAGAACTGATGTAAAGCCTTTTCTAGGGATAGGACCTGTTTTGCTCAAAGACATTTTTGGAAGGATCAAGCCCTTAGCCCAGTGCCGAGAAGCAGCCAGGCAGTATTGAGTGCACTGTGCCTGAGCGGTATCTGCTAGGGAGAACAGGACTGAGCAGCCTGGGCTGCCTGTTACGGTGAGCGAACCCTATTCTTGTTGTGCTGAAGATGCCAGTTAAAAGTACAGGTGTGGAAACCTGCTCTGCATTGCATGCTTCAGAAAGGAAGATGAGAGGTTTGCCGGGGGCGCCGGTGAAGGGATGCCCCAGCCACTCTGCATTCACTGCACTAATAATGTTGTGATGGTTTTCTTTGTGGTGTGTGTCTCAAAAGAACGCTGCCTTGCACCCTGGCTGCACGTCAAACATCTCCTTGTGCTCGAACTGTAACGCTGCACTCGCTCACCAGCTCACGCTTACTGTGCGCAGTGACAGCGTGCGCGGAAACCTGTCCACTCAGGAGCTGTCACTTTGCTAGCTGGCAGCGGGATCCTGGGGACGGGCTCACCCGGGGCTGAGTGGGCACCGGGAGTGGGGTCTGTCAGGGCCAGTTGTAGATGGGTGGCCAAACACAGCACCCAGAAAATTGCTTTTTCTCTGCAATCGGAGGCATTGTGATACAAGCTGAACTACTCTCCTGCTTTGCAGACCTCACCGCTGCATCAGTAGCTGCCAGTCCTACTCAACCTTCAGCTCAGAGAACTTCTCCGTGTCAGATGGAGAGGAGGGGAACACAAGCGATCATTCGAACAGCCCAGATGAGCTGGCCACCAAGCTGGAAGATGAGGTGGCTGAGAAGCTGGAGGACATGTTGTCCCAGACTCCAGAGATCCCCATTGAAATCTCCACGCAGTCTGACGGGCTTTCAGACAAAGAGTGTGCTGTGCGGAGAGTCAAGACTCAGATGTCTCTGGGCAAACTTTGTGCGGATGAACCCAGCTGTGAGGTGAGTTGCAAGTTCAGCAATCCCCTCTTCTTTTGATTGATTAAAAAAAAAAACGTTATGCGAGGAATCCAAGGGCCGGAAAGTTGGATGGCTGCCTAGGAAATGTTGTGGTAGATGTGCTACAGCACTGCTTAAATACCCAGTCTTTCTCGTACTTGGCCAGACGAGTAGATGGGGGAAAGTAGCACAAAGCTGAACATAATTTGCTGGTCAAGATGAGTGTGATATTGGGAAGCCATTGGATTTGCAGTTGCATTAAGTGGGATTAAAAAAAGCACATAAAGTAGATAATGAAATGGAAGGGATGTAAACTTCCTCGAACATATCCATCGGCAGCCTTGCTGACGAAGCTAGAATAATTTTCTTCCTTTTACTGTCTTTCAAGCATTTGGGAGGGGTAGGGCAAAGCCTGCTGCACCTTCTTCTCATAACTCCATCTGTGTTCGGTGGTGCTCTGACCTGATATTTTTCTGCTGTCCCCTCGCTGAGGGCGGACAGGTGACCTTCGGTAGGGTGCTTGTGTGTTGTTGGTATCTCCTGTGTGCGGGCAATCTCTGCCTCTCTGCCGGCGGTGACCTTTGCCCGCCTGCTGTTACAGATTGGGATGGTGTGCTTGATCTGCGGCGCAGGAATGTTGCTCAAGTCTTCCTCTTTCCTTCTGCTTTGCAGAACCCGGCACAGTTTGGAGAATCAGACTGTGACTCTTCTGAAGGGGAGTGTTCTGATGCCACGGTCAGGAACAATAAGCCCTGCAGCTCTGCTACTTGGTAATACGGATCTCTCCCAAAGCTTCCTGATACTGGCATTTTGATTTCCCTGAGATTCCACTTCATTCCCCTTCATCACACTTTCCAGGAAGAGAAGATGCTTCTCCTTCCCACCCCAGGAGTGATTTGCAATAACCCGAATCTCTGGAAAATGTCCAAATGAAATTAATTCTCTTTGAGCATTTCAATCAAGAATGGCAGGGATGTATTTTATTGAATAATCTAGTTACTGTAACATGGATATTTATTTTTTTGACATTTTAACACTTTTTACTGTAAAGAGTGGATTGTATTTATAGACACACAGACTTGTTGCAAAAAAAAAAAAAAAAGTTCAGAAAGCAAGCACATTACAGAGAAACATCCTGGGAGTCCTGCCTGGACAGCTTTGTGTACAAACGCAGGGGGATTCTCTTGCTGCTTTCACAGGGGACCAGGCCTTGTGGCCCTGAAGCTTGGAGAACAGATCAAGAAAACAAAACCACTCAGTCTTATCGAATGAGGAAGCGTAAAAAGACCTTACTATAGGGTAACCTGTGAACAAAGCGTATTCAGTATAACCAGCTGGGTCATTTTTAATCAGAAGGTGGACATGTTCCTGGAGCAAATTGGTACCGAGGTGCTAACGTCCAGGGTCTTCTGAGTCGATACATCCCCAGGAATGTAATAGTGGGTTTTATTTTAAGGATTTTTAGTTTCTTTTTTTAATCAGCATTTTGTTGTGAGATCCTGCAAATGTATTCTAACCTCGTCCTCTCGAGAATTGGTATAAGAGCACTTCTTAACATCGTCCTTGCTTCACTCTGGCAGTGTCGATCTCCAGTTGAGCAGGGAAACCTCTTTCAGATGCAGTGTGCCATTTCCCAGTTTACTTCCTCCTCTTACCTCCTGTCTGTTTCAGTCAGTCAAAGAAATCAATCAAATCAGTGTTGGAAAAGCAAGAACTTGCAAACCGTGGACAGCACATTCTGCAGAGCCTGAGCACTCTTCTGGGGAGGAAACTGGAGATACCTGTACTGGACTTGGAGAAGCAGTCTCTCACCTACAGCAGCATCGATAACCAGCAGAGAGCTGTGTGTTGAGGGGGAAGACTGGGAATCACTGGCTTAGATAAGAGCATCAGCCCTGCTCTGTCTCCTTATTCACTGTACATTCTCGAAAGCATTAACAGCTGCCTGCCTTTGCTGTCAGGCTTTGTGCAAAACAGGTTGCACAGGGAATCTTGATGGTGGCTGTGGCACAGCTGTGTCTCGGGTGTCCCCCGAGGCCTCTGTTTCTCCTTCAAGCTGAAACTCTGCAGGTGAAAGTGAGGATAGTACTGGTATGTGACAGGCCAAGGCATTGGCAGATGAGAAAAATTTGTTTTCTGTTAGAACTCATAGTGCCTTCCCTTCAAACACTACTCTTCTAAATCAATACTTAAAGAGAACAAAACGATAGAGCTCGTTCCCCCTTCCCCCCTTCCTTAGTTGATGGGCCGCACCGCCGGAGACGAACGGCGGGAACGGACCATGGACAGGTACTTCTGTTGCTTTGTTTGTTTACATTTTATGTTAAAATATTGGTTTGAATTTAACTGTGGTAATTTATGGCCTCATGGCAAAATGAAGGAAAATGTCTTACTTATACAGAGAGCAGTATTGTATGAGTTAAATTATCCCATATTTTTAAATTTTTGTAGCTGGACTACACACAGATCTTAAGTTATGATGTTATTTTATTATTTATTATAATTTCTGTAGATCAGAAGGTTGGCTTCACCGCTAGCACAATTGTAATCTGTTTGTGTGATGTTACCTTCTCCCTGGTCGCTGGGGGAGGTGGGAGCAGAGCTGGTCTCAGTGGCTGTCAGTAGTTGCTGTCTCTCGTGATTTCCAAGGCTGCTGTCATAGCGGGGCAGAGAACCCGTCAAGGCTGGTCCCAGGGGGGTGGATGCAGTCAGCCCTGTGGGCCCTGTGATACTCCTCGTGGTCGATGCTGCAGTTTGCTCGTGTTGCCAGCAGAGATGGCAGCCCCTGAGCTGGTGAGGAATGGTGATCAGGGAGCAAGTGGCTTTTGAATTGGTCACAAAGTGAATAACCGTCACAGGATCCCCTGGCAAGAGCATCCAAAAGGATGAGCAGAGAGGAGGGCAGTTGCTCCGGGCAGCAGGTATGAGATCAGGGATGGCCAGCAGCGGATCCAGGTGGTGGATCACCCATGCAGGACCAAACAGGCTGCTGGAGAGGAGAGGGAGCGACTGGCGCCCCCCTGCCTGCAGCAGCAATACTCGGCTCTGGGTGGAGGCAGAATGCCACAGGGAGTGAAGCTCTTTCCTGGGTTGTTTCTTGTTTCCTCTCTCTTCCCACTCCTCACTTCTCCTTGCCGATGTTCCGTCTCTCAGCCAGTGGCAGGAGGAGGTGGCCGGGCCAGAGACAGCTTTGCTGTCATGGCATGAGAGGGGTTTTGGTGTGGAAGCGGCGGTGCAGATGGTTACTCAGGAGGCTGGAGGCCGGGGGGCAGGAATTTAGCAGTGGAGAACTGTGTGCACGTGACATACGCACACAGAGAGGAAGACCAAACTATTGTGTAAAGAGATGTTGAGAACTACCATCCAAGGTCCCCCACAGCAGAGCGTGCCAGGCCTCAGGCCCCTGGCGAGGCTCTTGCCGCTCCGATCCGGCAGGCTTCCTCAGCTCCCATGCTCGCTGCTTGCGGGCAGCTGTGGGTCAGCCCAGCCCGTGGCAAAAAATCCCAGAGAGGTTTTGGTCTCTGCTTAGAGCTCCTCCACCATGAGATGAAGCTCCTCTGGGCTTGCAGAGATGCGTAGAAGTTCTGACGTGTGGGATTTTGGGACACTCCTGGGCCAGCTGTCACGGGCGCGTGCTGATTCCTCCCCGTCCTTGCCCGGGGACACGCTGGCTCATTCTGCAGCCTGGAAAAGCAGAGCTGAGCCCTTCGGGTTGTCTGCTGCCACACTTAGCTCTGGTTTCTTTACACGCTCGGGTCATTGCAATGTTACGGTCCAGCGTCGCTCCTTCGTAACTGCTGCCTACTATGCAGCGTCCCTCTGGGACTGCCACCAGGGCTGCCCCCCTTGCCTAAATGCGTAAGCCTGTGCCCGTGGAGGTGGGATCCCAGCCTCCCCTCGCGCACACAGCTCGTCCCCTCGGCCGTGTGCGGGCAGGGGTGGCTCAGCAGCCCCCCGTGTCCCTGGGATGGTTGCCGTCGATTCTGTAGGGGGTTACACGGGCATTTTCCTTAGCGAAACCAGCCCAGGACAGCACACAGTCGTGATCTCCGCGTTGCTGTGTGGGCGCCTCTGCTGCGGTGCCTCGCATGGTCTCTCCTAGCAGGGTGTGGGGCCGAGAGGCATACATCGGCCTGCTTCCTCCTCGCAGTCACACCGCCCTTGCAGGACAGCAGTAAACCGTGGGTCCCCCTCTTCAGCATCCCAGCTACCCTGATCCAGTCCTCGTGGCTGCCGACAGCTCCTGAGCACTAGCCTAGATTTTCTCCCAGAGCTGAATGTTGCCTTCCCCACTGTTGTGTTAAGTAACCATTTCATCTTGGCCCTGTCCAGTAGTGTTCATCTCTCTCCTCCCTGCTCTGCGGATTCCTGATACAAACTTGATTTTCTTTTTTTGTATTGAACAGTGTACAGTGATGGAAACAAGAATGACTATCAAAGCAAACAATGCATGGAATAAAAAGCCAGTGTACTTCAATGCTTCTCAGGCTGGTCTGGTGATCTGGGAATGGTTTCTCGTGTACTTTGGGACTGTGTCATGAATCTTTTCGTAACTAACACGATGTTAGCGAGCAGCTTGTTGTTAACTGTGTCTGAACACAGCTGAACTGGAACTAGTGGGAGCTCCAAGTAGCAGGGCAGGAGCTTGGTAGGACACACGTAGCCTACTGAGCACCCAGGTGTGCCTGAGCATTGGCCTTTGCTCCTGACAAATGAGTGATTTTTGCAGTGTGAGCTGGGGGGGGTTGAACCTGCACCTGTGACTTCTCATCCTGGGAACCTTGCTGTCCCACTCCGTTCCAACCCTGCTGGTGGGGGAGGAGCCAAAAGGGGTGAAGCATTCACTGCATCAGCTTCCGAAGTGCTCCGGGGTCTGCCATCCACCCCCTTCCATGCCAGAAAGTTTACTTTATCCTCTGAGTGGAGGGCAAATTCACGGAGAGTAGAGCAAGGAGGTGCAAATATCAAAAACTCAGGAGCATCGTATCGTCCTTGGGGGCTACTATTTTCCAGCAACTGGGACAGAGCCTACCTGCTTATTTGGAAACCTAGTTATACGTGAGCAAATGTGTAGGTTTAGAGGTGCTTCTCAAGAACAAATCACTGCCAGCCAGGCACATACTTTTTTTTTTTCCTTCCCCTTTAGTCTTTGTGGGGAGTAGCAGCCACTGACAGACCTCAGAAGCAGTCTTGTGTGTTCTGACATGTGAGTGATACATACAGGCAGCTCACACCGCCTCAGTCCTGAACAATTCTGCTGCAGGGTGTGTTTCCCTAACATCTGAATGACAGAGGAAGTGTCTTCTACATCTGTGAAAGCTCTCCTACAGGAGGTGCAGGGACCCTGAAATGTCATTAATTTTTTCTCAACTCAGTACTTGTACTACTGCACCTAACAGCACAGAAGTGCACAGTTTGTCATTTTAGGCCAAAAATGCTAAATAAGGATGGGGCTGGAGAGGGCAGGGGAAGGAGGCAGTAAGGCCTGCCTAGAGCTGGGAAATGCTGCTACCGGGGTGGTGAAAAACAGCCAAAGCTTCTGCTGTTGCAGCTCAGCACAGCCCCGTGTGCTGTGGACTCCTGGGTGCCAAGGAGGAAAAAAACCCCCCCCCCCCCCTGCCATATCAGCCCCACCACCGAGACCAGCTGGGCTCACTCAGCTGGACTGATGGGACGTGTGGGAGCCCAGGGGGAGCCTGTCACTGGGGCTGGCAGGGAGACCGCAGGGCCTGCGCTGCTTGGCCCCTGTGTTCAAGAGCTGGGAGGGACTAAGGGGTTCTGATTTGCCTCCCTTGTGGGATGCCAATACTCGGTACCCCTGATGTTTTTCCTCTGTCACTAATACATTTGCAGTGGGCGGGCAACACCCTCAGGCACACTGGAGATGCAGGCTGATTTAAAGGAAACAGGCAAATTAGCTGAAGAGTTCACAAAGCCCCTGTATAGTGCTCTCCGTGCAGATACATGCACAGTTAAACATTCATTAAAAATAAAACCCTTACACCTCCTCTTAGACGAGAAGAATAATTAAAAACCGCAGCTGTCCATGGTCCACGGTGGCACAGAGCATGCAGAACATAACCCACAGGAATGGAGACCTGCAGCTTTTGCGAGGCAGTCCCCCAACATCTGGGGCACCCAAGCCATCACAAGCTCTTTTTGCCATTAAGTAACAGAGCATGCTCGTCTTCAAGCTTCAAGTGCTTCTTGCTGTACTTCTTGATGAGGGTCCCTGGTATCAGTGCTGCCACGGCCATGGCAAGCAGTTTGAGCAGAGTGTCCCAGGAGAAAATGGCATCCAAAGAGGTGATTTGTGACAGAATGGCTCCTGTCTGCACACAGATGAAATTATATGGTGTAAGACCTGAAAGAATCAGAGCAGAAGAAAGCCTGTGAGCATCCTCCTCCAGGTAAAACAATCTTAAATATGCGCTTGCCCAAGGCCAGACACAGGGGTCTGTGTTCATAATGGAAAGAACGAGGTGTGAGTCAGAACTTTGCTGCATCGGTGATGTGCACAGATTTGCAAAATGCTCTGAGACCTTCAAGGACAGCACAAAGGCAAACAGTTGAATGGGGCAGAGTCACAGCTACGACCCTGCCGCTCCGCCTTCCCCAGCTCAGCGTACTACCCAAGGCTTGGTGATGAGGAGAGGCAATGTCACACTGCCCCCTCCGACAGTCTCCCCAGGCCTTACCGATGAGAACGGAGAAGAAGAACTGGGACACAGGGATGTTTAAAATGGGAGCTGAGAGATTGAGAAACCAGTTTGGTGTCATAGGAAACAGCCTCAGGAACAACAAGAAGAAAAATAAGCAGCTCCTGTTCTCTTCTACCTGCCAAGAGAGACGTTCCAAATTATTTCCACTCTTTAGATAGCGGTAACACCTGAATGTCGACAACACTGAAGTGAATGTAAGCTTTCTTCTAACATGCCGCAACATTCATCAGTTCTGGACTGACGAAACGCAGCAACTTCAGGTGTATGGGTACCTCATGGTGAGCCAGTCCCTTCCACGCAAGCGGTGAAAATGGGATCTAACCTGAACGAGCACTTGGGAGGTCACTGCCAGAAGCACCTCCAGCTGTACAACGCAGCACAGCATGGGTGGAGGCAGTTCTGGAGCACAGCGGCTTCCCAATCAATCCATTACCCTACTTCTGATTTTTCTTGGGGTCTGGGATTTTCCATACACCCCCTTTGCAAACACGCTCGCTCCCGAGAGAGCAGTCTGCTTCTACATTGTGTCAAAGGAGGCCCTTAATGTGGCTTTAAATTAAAAGAGGGGAGATTTAGATTAGATATAAGGGAGAAATTCTTTCCTACGAGGGTGGTGAGGCACTGGAACAGTTACCTAGAGGAGCTGTGGCTGCCCCCTCCCTGGCAGTGTCCAAGGCCAGGTTGGACGTGGCTTTGAGCAACCTGGTCTGGTGGAAGGTGTCCTGGCCCATGGCAGGGGGCGTGGAACGAGCTGATCTGTAAGATCCCTTCCAACCCAAACCATCCTATGGCCTGACGCATCCCCTGCACGCGTTCATTTTTCCACTAAGTCAACCCAAGAGGCAGCCTCACCCAGAGGACATTCTGGACCTGTTCTCACCTTTCTTTGCAGCAGAGCCACCTTGTCGGGGAAGCAGTAGATGACGAAGCGCTTGCCGAAGGCTCCGGAGAGCAAGTAGCAGCAGGTCGCTCCCACGGACGCCAGGGCCGAGCACAGCGCCAGCCCGGTCCACGGCCCGAAGAGCGCTCCGGCCAGCACGTTCTGCCGGGGCACGTGGCCGAGTCAGAGCCCG